GGCCATTGGTCAGCCTCCCTTTTCAATATATCGTCACAGTCAGAAATTAAGAACTGGTCTTTTTTTTTTCAAGAAGGTCATAAAAATCCAAGAAAATTCTTTTTAGGTAATTTCCTCCTACACAAAACAGCTACACAAAGCAGAAGATTGTCTCCTTTGAGGCTGCAGAATACAACAAACTGACTGCTGCAACAATATTTCCTACATATGCAGCCCTTTTAAGCTAAATTGCAGAGGTTAGAGGTTAGTTAGGGTTTCTGGTCTGGGACTGGTGCTTATTAGCTGATTGAGGATTACTTTGGCATTGTGGTTGCTGTAGCAAACAGGAGCTGGGTGAGTGCTGCAGCAGCACCTTAATGTCAACAAGACCAAGGAGCTGATTGTAGACGACAGCAAGAAGCAGCAGAGGGCATACCACCCACTCAGGATCAGCAGGACAGAGGTGGAGCGAGTGGAGAGCTTCAAATACCTGGGTGTTAACATCACGCAGGACCTGACGTGGTCCTGTCACATCAGCACCCTGGTGAAGAAAGCTCGACAGCATCTCTGCTTCCTCTGACGCCTGAAAGACTTTAAGCTCCCTCTCAAGGTGCTGAGGAACTTTTACACCTGCACCATTGAGAGGGTTTTGGCTGGGAGTATCACCACCTGGATGGGCAGCAGCACCCAGCAGGACTTCATGGCCCTGAGGAGGGTGGTGCGCTCAGCTGAGCGCACCACCCTCCCCAACCTGCAGGACATTTACACCAAATGATGCAGGTTGAAGGCCAGGGAGATTGTGAGTGGGCCCACCCACCCCAGCCACAGACTGTTCTTTCTGCTGCCGTCAGGGCAGCATTACCGCTGCCTGAAGGCAAACACAAAGAGGATGAGGAGGAGTTTCTTCCCTCAGGCTGTCCGCCTGCTGAACCTGAAACAATAGACTCAATAAACAATTCAACCGGTCATGTTGCACTTTGTGTAATACATGTATATATAGTATTATTTTCTTTATTTATACCATCTCCTTTTGTACTGTTTGAAAATTTGATTTATTTATTTTGCTTATTTTTTTATCCCTTTTTCTCTCTCTCCCTATATATATATATATGTATATATGTTTCTTGTGCGTATATTCTTATTTTTATCAATTTCTTAATATTGTTTCAGCATGGAACAGGTACGCAAAGTATTTCACTGCGCATTATACCATGTATGACTGTGTTTGTGATAAATAAAGACTTCGAATCCTTGACTCCATGAATCCTGGAATCCATTTGCAAAACATTAAGTGCATTTCTCAAAACACTTTGTACGAATAGCACAACACCATGGATTACCTGAAAAAGGCATTTACTTGCTCAAAATCCTTAGTTCATCTCTCAAAAGTAGATATCTGTGTCAATGAACATGTCAGTGCCATCAGAATGACAAGTCCTTGTATCAATGTGTACAGATAAGACAGTCAAACTGTTTAGTCATGTTGTCAGTATCACAGTGTACTCTGGAGGGATGTTCTGATGTAAACTATGGCTAAAGGTTTTATGATGATTATTGTAAATTGTGAGTTACACTTTAGTGTATGTGGGAGATTGATTGTAATACATAGCACAAAGAAATAAACAAACAAAAGTAGAAATGTGAAAATAGGATAATCTTCTTTGGGAAAACTGTACATGCAGTGCTGTAGGAATTATAGTGCAGTCTTCCTATGTACTTGCCAGCTGATGGTTCATAAGATGCACCTTTTGAGCTATTTCAGAAAACCAGTTGATCATTATTTGATATATGTAATGCTACACACATTCCCCTACCAATTCTGAACAGATTTAGAAAATAAGTCTTATGGAAATGTATAGAAATATGCTTGACATATTATGACAACTTGTTCAACCATTTTGCATGTAAAGACTTATGCAATGAATTAATGTCTAAATGTTGTGGGGGGTGAGACTATTCAACAGAGACCCATTATAATACATTTTGATCAACATGACAATAGCAATTGATGATGTAGGAAACAGCAGAGAATTGCTCATAATTATTTGCATGGATGTACCAAAGCATTTAGAACTTGCTCAAAGAAATGAAAAAGTGTTTTTTTTTTATGTTCACAAGTGACACTATGACATGAAGCTTGAACAAGTAGTTTTGAGAATTTCAATTCTGATCTGAGAAAGGCCAGTGAGAAAAACTGCAATGGCTTTGTTTATTATAGTTTCCCATTACGAAAATTAATTGTCCTCACAAGTCCATACATTGCTTCTACACATGATGCCATAACAAAATAAAATGTTTTCTTTAGTTTCACAATCAGTTGTTAAAAAGTTAATATTTATTTTTAAAACTGAACCCTAATTTACGGAATGTGCCAGACAATTATGCTGTATCTTGTTCCACCTGAATGCCACACAAGGCACCACCCCTCACTACCGCTCCATCCCATTGGCCAGCCTCCCTGTCAATCAACTCAGGCTGCCATGGTAACAGAAAGCCCAGCAGCAGCTCGGCGTGTCTGAAGCAACTAACAGAGAGCGGAGCAGAGTGCGGGGCGAGCAGCTTATCAACATGAGCAGCTCCCTGACCCTGCCTGACTGTAAAGGAAACCGTGCCGGTACTGTGAAGTCTTAGGCTGCCGAACAGTTCTAGTTTTCTGTCGCACGAATGTTTTTTTTTTGTTTGTTTTAGTGTCTTTGCACAGAGTTTAGTTGCCTGCGTCGTTTGATATAAGTGTACAGACGGATCGTGAAAGTTTGCCCCGGATTTTAGCTACCCTCCCTCTAATTAAAGGACGCCATGATCCCCGAATGCCCACGCGACGGGGACTCGAGGAGCCGAACCCGCCTCCAGTACAGTCCGGCGACCGAACCGAACCAGGACCGCGACAGCAGTGGCTTGCTTTCCGAAATCAAAACCACCATCAGTAACGAGCCTTTCACCGACCACTACACCATTATTCCCGGCAAAGAACTCGGACGGTAAGACTAAACTGAACTTTCCCAAATTGTTTATGTTTTGCCGTAGAACTCCCGTTTAGGGTACATCAATCAATCAAACTTTATTTGTATAGCACTATTCATACAAAGAAAGCAACACAAAGTGCTTTACAACCACTAAAAACAAAAACAAGAAAACCCGTCCTTCCCACTCCATATACACATATATACACACACAACTACACACACACACACACACACACACACAACCATACACTCTCACTGTCACATTCATATCGTTAGCCAATTGGCATAATAGCCTAAGTCATATTTGAATGTTTTCTGAAGACAAGAAAAAATACGTTTCTCAGGGAGCACATAAGTATTTTTTTTTATTGATAATGTAACAGTAAGTTCAACCAGATTTGTTAACAAGTTTGCAAAGAAGAAAAGACAGAACTGCGATTGCATAACAAATAAAAGTGACTTTGGCAGAATATACCACGACTTAGGCATTTTTTTTTCATACAAACATACTTGTCTAACCTTAACCAAAGTCCTACTCACTGAATTTCATGACAGTAATTGGTAACTGAACAGGAAAGAGTCAGACCCAGTGGAACGGTTCTTTGGGGATGCTGCCTAGCTGAGGCAGGTCCTCCCAGTCAGACTCAAAATCCAACTAGTACCGGATTCGACTATCTGCCACTGGAGAGCCCAAAGGTCATGTACTGTGGGGTCATCAACTTTTCTACCTGGTTGAATGTTGGTGAAATAGGCTCTAGATAACTTCATGAAGTCATCATGGTATACCTGGGTGACCTTGTATGGGGGTGGATGCAAATGTGCAGTCTCAAAAACGACAATGTAATCACGTGGAGTGTGAATATCTTTGATGGTACGTCACTCAATAAGACTATGCATGGAGTCACACTCCATTTGTGTCTGCCTTGCAACCAGAAACTTTTGTTCTATGGTGACACCATGCCTCATGGCCAGATCTAAGTACGCGTTTGTGATGGTACTACATCTATTTTGTCTCCCAGGAGGGCATGGACCAGAAATTGTTGAAGATATCCATTCTTTCTTCGTCATGCAGCAATTTACAACTTTGTTCGTTAGACCTTAAGCAGTGCTGTGATGTGCAGAGTGGGCCCATGGTCTTTGGCTGTCTCTCTTGTCGTGTTGTGTTCTTGTAACTTTGCCCCTAAGGCACTTTTCTGTCATTACCTGTCGCTTCCACATGACCTTCCACGTGACCTTGGCGCTTATGACGTTTAACAAAAGAAGCTTCAAGTGAAGCTCCTGTTTCTTTCTCACGATGTTGAGCCGTGTCTGCATCACTATCATTATCTGGGCAGCCATCTTTCTTAGGTCTATAGTCCTCATTCAGGACAGAGTCATTATATTGACTTTCTGACCATGAATCATGATCAGAATTAGCTCTGGAGGCTTAAACAACCATTTCTTCTTCAATCTGTTGCCTGGTGTCTAGGTCATTTCTTGACCCCTGGACTTCTTTCTTATCTATATCTATATCTATCTATCTCTCTCTCTCTATATATATATATCTATATCTATACTGTCATCTAAATCCTTTTCCAAGTCCTTCTCTAAACTGGTATGAAGTTTATTTCCTGACTCTGAAGCAGAAGAAAATAAAGTGCTGCTGAGAGTTTTAACACAATGAACCGTGTTAAATGATCAGGTTCACTGCAAAAACTCCAAATCCTATGAAGAATACTTCTTATTTTTAGTCAAAGCCTCATTTCTAGTAAAAACAAATCTCTTCACACTTGAAATAAAAAGCAAATATTCACTTGAAAATTTGCTTGAAACAAGTGAAATTATCTAAAACAAGTTACATTTTAGGCGACGTGTCTTATTTTAACGGTAAAGAGATTTATTCTACTAGAAATGAGACAAATATTCTATAGCATTAGCTAGCTCCTACACTACTTCATCATACCTTATCACAGAAATATGATTAAAAGTTTAAACACACAGTTCCTAATCCCTATGATTGACTGAAAGTACATTTACTATAACGAAAGTTGAAGAAATATATGAACTAACAGACCAGTTGAATCAAAGAAAAGAGCTAATGCTTCATTTGTGGTCAGCCGAGCCCTCTTTCTCATGGGGTCCGGCATCTGTGTATGTAGTGCAGGGGTGCGCAATATGACTATATTAGATCGTGAAGGATTAGAACGTGTAGACGATCTGCCAAAGTGAGGAGATCATATGGATCGTTTAGGTCACATTCTATAAATTGCAGTTCTATGCTGATGCATCGATGCACCAGACACATTGCGTTGTAAACCTGACCGACCAAACTTAGTGAATTACGGGCAGTGACACAATTTCTTACCGGCCTCCTTGTTTGTGTGTGTGTAGTGGTAGCTGCATGGAGAGCCATGGTTGAAAGCCAAATGGAGGAGTTGGTAGCTAAAAAGAACTCCACTTTCATTATTAGGGTCCGAGCACCCAAAGGGTGCGAAGACCCAATTGGAACTGCTCTTTTTTTTTTTTCTTCTTCTTCTTCTTATTTTTCACCATAAAGACACGCGTTTTTGAGGCCCTAAACGTGCTCGAAACTGCATAAAACTTGGCACACACATCAGACCCGGCGACAAATTTTATAATTTGGAAGAAAAATACACACCTCACTACAGAAATTGCTCCATAGCACCATCTTGAAAATTTCAACGGAGTCCTGTCAGAAGCACGTTTGCCCTAGAGCTACGCAATTTCATAGGCCTATAGAGCTGGTCGGCACGAAGAAAAAAGTCCGCTTGGACTTTGCTCTAAAATACAACACGGCTCAACTGCACCCCCTACAATATTTCAACAGAGTCCCATCAGGGCTATGTTTCACCTACAACTATGAAATTCGCCACACATATGTAACAACTCGTTACGTACAAAAAAGTCCATTAGCATGTTTCTGTAAATCCAACAAGAAATCCGCCATGTTGGAACAACGGCGAGCATGTCAGGCCATTTTCACTCAAAAATGGCCATTTTTGGCCATTTTGAAAATCTATCTCCTTCTAGGGGATACGTAGTACACACCTGAAATTTGGTGAACACAAACTACAGGACGTGGTGATTAAAAGTTAGCAAAACGCTTCGCAGATGAGGCCCGGTTTGGAAATGGTGGCCTGTCCAATTTCGATCAATGGCCATTTTGTCCATTTTCAGGGTGGTTCTGGCCGTTTCACCTACAGCTACAAGAGTCGGTGGGCATGTGTAGCAGGTCAGGACGCACAAAAAAGTCAATTGGTGCCAAGTCCTAAACCCAACAGGAAGTCTGCCATTTTGAAAAAAGTAGGTGACACTTTTGGCGATTGTGCCTGACTTTTGGGCATTTTTGGCCATTTTCAAAATCTATCTCCTCCTTCAGGGAAGGTCATACACACCTGAAAGTTGGCCACCACAAACTACAGGAGGTGGTGATTACATGTTAGTGAAACGGTCCGCACAAGTGTGACGGTGTGAAAATGGCGACCCCCTGAATTTGGCCCCAACGCCATATAACACCAGAATACGAGACTTGCTGTGTCTGTGCTCTGATCAGCCTCCAACTTCACACGCATGCTCCGAGTCTCAGCCAGAGCTTGTTTCCACCACGGCCAACAGGTACGCCGCCGCAACTCGCCACTAAACAGGAAGTGGCTCGTAACTAGGCCGCACGTGCCTGAAACTCGACAGGCCGAATCAGAGTCCTGCCCCGAGCATGTTTGCGCCACACCCCGATGTGCGCGATGGCCAACAAGCGTCAGGCGAGGACCGGTCCATCGCCGCTTGCGGCTTTAATATGGAATTGTTTTGGCTTTTCCCCAAATGACAAAGCACAAACAAAAGTAATTTGCAAAGTTTGCACAGAGACGGTTCGCACGTCGGATGGCAACACGATAAACTTGTTCAATCACTTGAAGGTAAAGCACACTAAACAGTATGCTGAGAGCCAAACAGGGATGGGACTGCCGGCAGCACCGCAGCCAGAGGCAGCAGCTGGACACAAACGTTATCACAGGCATTTGATAAAGGTACTCCGTATGAGAGGACAAGCAAGCGGTGGAAAGAGGTAACAGAAGCAGTTACCTTTTATCTTGCAAAAGACATGGTTCCATTCAAGACAGTAGAAAACGAGGGGTTCAAATGACTGCTCAAAGTAGTTGACCCACGGTACGAGCTGCCCAGCTGAAAATACTTCTTCAACACTGCTATTCCATGTCTCTATGCTGAATGCCGAGAAAAGATTGAACACAAAGTTCAGAACGTCCAGTTTTTCGTAATGAGTGATGTGTGCTCCAGCCACCACTTTCAAAAATACATGTAAGATCATGATAAAATCAAAATTGTGATTTTATAATTAAAAAATCGTGATATGATATTTTTTGCCATATCGCCCACCCCTAATGTAGTGTCAAAAACGCCTAAGTCAAAGAGACGATTTAAGCCTGGTTTATGCTTTTCAAGTGGAAAATTTCCGCGTCGTGCACCTCCGAAAATTTCTAACAATGCAGACGGAGTAGCGCAGAAAACATGGCGGACGAACAGGAGCTCCTAGTGGCAGAGGTACCAAAATGCAGGCATTTATATAATTCTTCACACACGGATCACCGTGATAGCCATGTGATTAACAATTCATGGCGTGAAATTATGGCCACACTCAGTACAGAAGAGGAAAGAAAACCTGGAAAAACCTATGGGACATACGTTAAGGCAAAAAAGAGTACCAAAGGGCGAAGTGGAGACAAGGGGAAGCCAAAATGTCCCTAGGATTTTGAGAGAGTTGAGCTAGTTCTCAACTTTTATCAAGCACGGCGAAACTGACTTGAATTTCCCTCCAAATGAGGTAAGTCTATTGATAATTATATCAGAACAGAAAACAAACTGCTAAAAACGGATGGAATTTAGCCTTGTGCAAAATCCGTTGTATTTTCTGCAACCTTGTGTAAACTACGAGCATGTGTCACCATGTTGTAAGCAATGTAAGCGATGTCAAACTTCTCTACTCCAATTTAGTACTGTGG